AGAGCCAGCCCTTTGGTAAAGGATGTGAGAACCGCTATAGAATTCAAGAAAAAGTTTGTAGAAAAATACGAAAGTGGTGGTGGTAGAGGGTGGCAGTGATGGTGGTAGATGGTAGTGATGGTGGTAGAGGGTGGTAGTGGTTGTGATGGTGGTAGAGGGTGGTAGTGATGGTGGTAGAGGGTGGTAGTGATGGTGGTAGAGGGTGGTAGTGATGGTGGTAGAGGGTGGTACTGGTTATGATGGTGGTAGAGGGTGGTACTGATTATGATGGTGGTAGATGGTGGTACTGGTTGTGATGGTGGTAGAGAGTGGTAGTGATGGTGGTAGAGGGTGGTAGTGATGGTGGTACTGGTTATGATGGTGGTAGAGGGTGGTACTGGTTATGATGGTGGTAGAGGGTGGTAGTGGTTGTGATGGTGATAGAGGGTGGTACTGGGTGGGAGGGTGGTAGAGGGTGTTAGTGATGGTGGTAGAAGGTGGTAGTGATGGTGGTAGAGGGTGGTCCAGTGATTCTCAAGCTGGTCCTAGTGGCATTAAAAAACCAAGAAGGGAGGTAACCCCACCAAAGGACTTGGTACCTGAAATCTTTATGGAAGGGGATTCTCCTTCCAAGCAACAACTCCACAATAAAGGTAAGTGGCATTTAATTACTGTTATTTTGCATGTCCCATTCCTTTCCACATAAGGAAATGTATATTTCATGTAAAAAAAATTTTTTTTCAGACTTTGGGGTGTCAGGAACGGATTAATTCCATTTCCATTATTTCTTATGGGGAAAATTAACTCGACCAACGGCAATTTCGACCAATGGCAAGCTCTCTGGAACAGATTAATGCTGTTGGTTGAGGGTCCACTGTAATAGTATTTCTTACCTTAAATTGTGGGTAATGGTACACCTACCATCCGACTTACGACCTAGTTCGGTTCCGAGAAACCGGTCGTAAGTCGAAATGGTCGTAAGTCGAACTTTACTACTGAATATTAACAAAACATTTTTGTAATGACTTTATTTTATTGTTTTATTTTGGTATTTCATGTTTTACTTTAATTTTTATGCTGTTAGCACTGTATTTTATACTGTAAGGTTTAGGATAAACACTGTGTACAACACAAATAGTTGTTTATTTCCCAGAAATTTGGCATAAAAAACACGGTCGTAAGTTGAGTGGTCGTAAGTTGAGTGGTCGTAAGTCGAGCAGGTCGTAAGTCGGATGGTAGGTGTATTTGTGGACGATTGTGAAGAGAGTGGATATGGATGGTGTGGCCCTACTGGGCTGAGGTGGATGGTTGTTGGTTGTCGGCAGAAGTGGATGGTAGAGGTTCTAGTACTGAAGTCGATGGTTGTATTGGAGTGTGCATAAATTCTGTAATGGATCTCTGGGCTCTTTCACCCTGCAGTACATTATATAGCTGACAGTAATGCATCATCATCAACTGGTCTAGACCCCGTTTCAAAGCACTGCTTCTAGATTTGTCAGGGTCCTCTTCAGTGAAAAAGTGTGCTAGTTTAGCAGCAACGTAGATCTGCTCACGCAACTGCTGCAATGTTAACTGTTTTTCTTCGGGTTCTTCTTCATCTTCTTCTGTTATCTCCCTCCCTTGTATCTGTGCATCGAGCTGCCAACATTTCTCTGGACTCCTGTTTCATCATCTTCTAAGAGCTCATTCACATCTTCATTCATATCTTCAAAACCATCACCTGGTAATCTCCTTGCCAGCTGAACAATTTCGTGAACCTGACTCAAGCAAAGGAAAACCAGTTAAAGAACTAACTACAGAAGGCCTAACTTTCCCCAGTTTGCATTTAATGTTGATTGGGGCACTTCATTCCATGCACTTCTAGCATAGCTGATGGAATCTGCAATGTTAAATTTATTCCAGAAGCTTGGTACTGCCAGGTTGGAGTCAGAGTCCATTGATTCAACTAGTTTTTTCATAACTTTTTTGTGTAATTACACTTGAATGGCTTAAACTGTCCAAACATAGATCTATGTTTGCACGCGTAGCACTCCGACCTTGATTTTCTCCATAAGAAACCATGCAAAAAAATGTAGATCTATGTTCGGAGCGCTACACGAGCAAACGTAGATCTACGTTTGGACAGTTAAAAACTCCCCGAGCCAGTGGTTGTATTAGAGATGCTGTATTTGGAGGTAAAAATACAACTTTTACATGTGGGGTCACATCCAGCAAAGCTTGTAGATGAGTACAGGAATTATCAAGGAAGAAGAGAGCCTTGAATGCAAGGTTCTTGCTGTGCAGGTAAAACTTGACTTCAGGAATAAAGTGATGCTTAAACCAGTCAATAAATATTTCCTCTGTCATCCATGCTGACTGGTTTGACCTCCAAATTACTGGTAAGGTGTTTTTATCTACACCTTTCAAGGCACGAGGATTCTTAGAGCGGCAAATAACCATGAGCTTACACTTGAAATCACCTGCCGCATTACCGCAAAGGAGCAAGGTGAAGCGATCCTTTGCTGTCTTGAAGCCAGGTGCACTTTTCTCTTGCTGACTGATATAAATTCGTGTTGGCATTTTTTTCGAAAAAAAAAGTCTTTTTTTTTTTTCAACAAGTCGGCCGTCTCCCACAGAGGCAGGGTGACCCAAAAAAGAAAAATAATCCCCAAAAAGAAAATACTTTCATCATCATTCAACACTTTCACCACACTCGCACATTATCACTGTTTTTGCAGAGGTGCTCAGAATACAACAGTTTAGAAGCATACACATATAAAGATACACAACATATCCCTCCAAACTGCCAATATCCCAAACCCCTCCTTAACCCTTTGACTGTCGAAGGGCCCAATCCTGAAGTTGCTCCTGGTGTCGCAAAATATTCGAAAAAAAAAAAAATTATTTTTTCTTATGAAATGATAGAGAATCTTTTCCCGATTGTAAAGACACCAAAAAAACGAAATTTGATGGAAAACTGACGGAATTACGCTCTCGCGAAGTTAGCGACTTCGGCGATATTTAAAACTCGGCAATTTCGCCCACTTTGAGCCCTATTTTCGGCTAATTCCGTTATTCCAGTCAACCAAACTCATAACTATTTCTTCAGAACTCTATTTTTTCTATCGATTGAGCACAAGAAACTGCCCATTTACCGATTTCAACTACCCAATAACATGGTCAGAAATTTGCAATTTGGCCAATTTCACGAAAATTAAAAAATACGACAATTTCAAAATAAGGTCCAGAATGAACAATGCAGACATTCCTGGCTCTAAAATAAGATTTTCTTTGTTCATCAGTCATGTCTCCAGGTCCCTGTGATATTACTCTTGCTTTTTATTTTGAAATTTTATTCAAACAAAAAATAGAAGATTTACTGTTATGCAGACTACTGCAATACTGTAATAATTGTAAAAATTACATCAACCCATTCTTGACTGCGTATTAGAATGGCTATTTGGACATTTATTGGACAATGACATCATTTGTTTACTTTTGAACATCGGCAAAAATCAAACATTTCCTGTACTTTGTGCTCCATTTCCAGGTTCTTTTTATAGTAAAATTAATCAAAATCACCTCCATTTCTATAATATAGTTTCCATTCTATCAAATGAGACCATGAAAACGAGAATACAACCACAAATACTATACGAAAATAGACCACAAAGTCGGCATTTTAATTAAAAAAAACGGTCGGAGTTTTTTTTTTCTCATTATGCACTGCGTGCTCCAGGATTTTTTTTATGTGGTGCACACTGACCACACAGACCCATTCTCTCACATGTGGGCCTACTAGCTTTCTCCTGCCTGATTTGAAGCCGCTAGAATTTATGAGTATATATACATCAAACACGGTACCTCACAAACGTATATATACGGCCGCGACAGTCAAAGGGTTAAAGTGCAGGCATTGTACTTCCCATTTCCAGGACTCAAGTCTGACTATATGAAAATAACCGGTTTCCCTGAATCCCTTCATTAAATATTACCCTGCTCACACTCCAACAGATGGTCAGGTCCCAAGTACCATTCGTCTCCATTCACTCCTATCTAACACGCTCACGCACGCTTGCTGGAAGTCCAAGCCCCTTGCCCACAAAGCCTCCTTTAGGTGGGTGGGTGTGGGTGGCTTAGGGAGGCGGGGGATGGCGACAGGTCTCCCCCATTGACAAATGGTGTAACCCATTAACCTACATACCATCCCGCCTGATGGGCAACCGCATGCTCAAAATTTTTTCCCCCACGCAACCGTGTTAAACTAATTTTACGAAGTGTTAAATAAAAATATGCAGCAATTCTTCAATCACACTATGACAAAAACATGCAAGACAAAATCGTGTTAAACAATGGTCTACTGTAGCAGTGAAAGTATTAGAGGTGATAGTGAGTGAATCTTTCAAGCTTATACTAGAGAGATCACAAGTTAGAATAATGAACTTAATATATAATGTAGAGTTTTGTAAGAGAAATTAGCATGTAGACTGAAGATACTTGTGAGGTTAAATTAAAATTATTCAAGTATTTCAGTGAAATAAAAAAAATTAAATATGAAACTCACTTTCAGCAATTAAAAGAAAAAATTTCTTTAAAAGTCTCCAGAAATATGGTAGTAAGCAGTTTAGAAAACACTCATGCAAGTAGCTAGCCTTCTGAATCTCATAAAATATATTCTGAAGACTATAACAAATATTAAACCTAAACTAATCCAGCTGCTAAACACTTAAGCAATAAGGAGTTAAAACCAAGATGGAACTACCTGTAGTCCTCAAAAAACAAAACAAAAAAACATGTTAAATGATATGAATAATGACAAATATACTCATTATTTTAAAAAAATTTGGCAAAACAATGATAAAAAAATAAATAGCATATTATTAATTTTAACATTCATGTGTATATTGCAAAATGATGAAGAGAGCAGTCATAGTGAGGACTATATCGTTAAACAACTCCCCATTTTAATGAGTTAATGTATGCTCAAACCACAAGGTTGGAAGACCACGAGGGTGGGAGAGCAGGTAACTCGGCTGACTTACTGAGCTACCCAGGCATTGGTGTTTGTATTGAAGGATTGAATGAGATGGCCAAATTGGGTAGACCCTTCCCAGAGGAGGATATTAACGTTTCTACAGCCATCCCACAGCATATCTCCAGCTGAATTCCGGCCATTGAAAGCCAGTCCTGGGACCAGTAAGACTGTTTTAGAGTGGGACTGATAGCAAATTAATAATAATAGAATTAAAACAGAAATTAGACATACACAAATGAATGTAAAAAATATGCATGGATTAAACCACAAACTAACCCTACAGGACAATCATTAAGATTTACCCACATTAAAAATTATGAATTACTGAAAACATTTTGGCAAGCATTTTCAGTCTTCTTGGAGACTCTCTTCAGGCAATCAATTTAACCATACAAAAGAAGCTGTTAAATATGCAAACAAGTGAGGGATCAAGCAAAACATGACAGAAACAAGAGGTGCTCTAGACATACAGGTCCACAACAGACAATGAAGCTCAATTACAAAGACCTGAACTTTACTATTTGTTGGTCAGTGATCTTTCTAAGTACAATGATACCTCGAATTTCGAACAGCTCCCAACTCGAACATTTATGTAAGTGTATTTTTGTAAGTGCTTTTGTAAGTGTATTTTTGGGGGTCTGAAACGGGCTAATCTAATTTACATTATTCTTTATGGGAACAAATTCGTTCGGCAACGGCACTCGAACAGCCTTCTGGAAGATTGTAATGAAGTTGGTAGAATTACCGACAATATGTAAAGTAAAAGGACACAAGTGCAACTAATGTGACATTTTAATGTGGCAACGTTTCGCTCTCCAGGAGCTTTATCAAACCATTACTAATGGCTTGATAAAGCTCCTGGAGAGCGAAACGTTGCCACAATAAAATGTCACATTAGTTGCACTTGTGTCCTTTTACTTTACAGCCTTCTGGAACGAATTTTGGCTGAAATTCGAGGCACCACAGTAATTCTTGAAAGTTTAAAACAAAGGTTACTAGGAGAAGGTCAAGGTTATCAGCACTGTTCCAAAGTACATTGCAAGTGCAAGTTGGAAAGTTTTCTGGAGTCATGACCTAGCCAGTATAGTGATCTAAAGTGAGAGTGTTTGCTCCTTACACAATCTGTTACTTTCACATTTCTGAGAAAATCTGATTTCATAATCTAAACAGTGTTGACGAAGCCTGAGTGGAATCAGTCTTAATGTAAAATGAGATTTGGGTAACAGCTAATGTTATATAAGGCAAGAGAGAAAAAGAGGCTTCCCTCCCCCCCCTCCCCTCTCTTTCTCACACGTAAGTACACTTGCTTCCTCACTCACACACTTGTGTGCATACATACAAGCTTGCACAGGAGCTCACTTGTGAATGCACACACATTTTAAACAAAAACAAAGAAACAAATACATAAACACACAAATTTGCTTTTCAGCAACTAGGCATTATCCCACCAAGCCAGGGTGACCTAGAAAGAAAAACTATAGTTTCTCTCTTTAAATTTAGTAATGTATACAGGAGAAAGGGTTACTAGCCCCCTTGCTCCCAGCATTTTAGTCACCTCTCACGACACACACAGCTTACGGAGGAAGAATTCTGTTCCACTTTCCCCTGGAGCACACATACAATTTTTTTTTTTTTTTCAACAAGTCGGTCGTCTCCCACCGAGGCAGGGTGACCCAAAAAAGAAAGAAAATCCCCAAAAAGAAAATACTTTCATCATCATTCAACACTTTCACCACACTCACACATTATCACTGTTTTTGCAGAGGTGCTCAGAATACAACAGTTTAGAAGCATATACGTATAAAGATACACAACATATCCCTCCAAACTGCCAATATCCCAAACCCCTCCTTTAAAGTGCAGGCATTGTACTTCCCATTTCCAGGACTCAAGTCCGACTATATGAAAATAACCGGTTTCCCTGAATCCCTTCACTAAATATTACACTGCTCACACTCCAACAGATCGTCAGGTCCCAAGTATCATTCGTCTCCATTCACTCCTATCTAACACGCTCATGCACGCTTGCTGGAAGTCCAAGCCCCTCGCCCAAAACCTCCTTTACCCCTCTTTCCAACCCTTTTGAGGACGACCCCTACCCCTCTTTCCTTCCCCTATAGATTTATATGCTTTCCATGTCATTCTACTTTGATCCATTCTCTCTAAATGACCAAACCACCTCAACAACCCCTCTTCTGCCCTCTGACTAATGCTTTTATTAACTCCACACCTTCTCCTAATTTCCACACTCCGAATTTTCTGCATATTTACACCACACATTACCCTTAAACAGGACATCTCCACTGCCTCCAACCGTCTCCTCGCTGCTGCAGTTATCACCCAAGTTTCACATCCATATAAGAGTGTTGGTACTACTATACTTTCATACATTCCCTTCTTTGCCTCCATAGATAACGTTTTTTGACTCCACATATACCTCAACGCACCACTCACCTTTTTTCCCTCATCAACTCTATGATTAACCTCATCCTTCATAAATCCATCCGCCGACACCTCAACTCCCAAGTATCTGAAAACATTCACTTCTTCCATACTCCTCCTCCCCAATTTGATATCCAATTTTTCTTTATCTAAATCATTTGATACCCTCATCACCTTACTCTTTTCTATGTTCACTTTCAACTTTCTACCTTTACACACATTCTCAAACTCATCCACTAACCTTTGCAATTTTTCTTTAGAATCTCCCATAAGCACAGTATCATCTGCAAAAAGTAACTGTGTCAATTCCCATTTTGAATTTGATTCCCCATAATTTAATCCCACCCCTCTCCCGAACACCCTAGCATTTACTTCTTTTACAACCCCATCTATAAATATATTAAACAACCATGGTGACATTACACATCCCTGTCTAAGACCTACTTTTACCGGGAAGTATTCTCCCTCTCTTCTACACACCCTAACCTGAGCCTCACTATCCTCATAAAAGCTCTTTACAGCATTTAATAACTTACCACCTATTCCATAAACTTGCAACATCTGCCACATTGCTCCTCTATCCACTCTATCATATGCCTTTTCTAAATCCATAAATGCAATAAAAACTTCCCTACCTTTATCTAAATACTGTTCACATATATGCTTCAATGTAAACACTTGATCTACACATCCCCTACCCACTCTGAAGCCTCCTTGCTCATCTGCAATTCTACATTCTGTCTTACCTCTAATTCTTTCAATTATAACTCTACTGTATACTTTTCCTGGTATACTCAGTAAACTTATTCCTCTATAATTTTTACAATCTCTTTTGTCCCCTTTCCCTTTATATAAAGGGACTATACATGCTCTCCACCAATCCCTAGGTACCTTCCCCTCTTTCATACATTTATTAAATAAAAGTACCAACCACTCCAACACTATATTCCCCCCCCCCCCCACTTTTAACATTTCTGTCATGATCCCATCAGTTCCAGCTGCTTTACCCCCTTTCATTCTACGTAATGCCTCACGTACCTCCACCACACTTACATTCTGCTCTTCTTCACTCCTAAAAGATGGTATACCTCCCTGGCCAGTGCATGAAATTACCGCCTCCCTTTCTTCCTCAACATTTAAAAGTTCCTCAAAATATTCTCGCCATCTACCTAATACCTCCCTCTCCCCATCTACTAACTCCCCTACTCTGTTTTTAATGGACAAATCCATACTTTCCCTAGGCTTTCTTAACTTGTTTAACTCACTCCAAAATTTTTTCTTATTTTCATTAAAATATACAAATATACAAATATAGTTACTATATTTAAGAAAGGACTCCATGGGGAAGTGGAACAAAATTCTTCCTCCGTAAGCCATGCGTGTTGTAAGAGGTGACTAAAATGCCGGGAGCAAGGGACTAGTAACCCCTTCTCCCGTATAAATTACTAAATTTAAAAAGAAAAACTTTCGTTTTTCTTCTTGGGCCACCCTGCCTTGGTGGGATACGGCCGGTTTGTTGAAAAACAAAAATTAAGAAAGGACTCCATGGGGAAGTGGAACACAATTCTTCCTCCATAAGCCATGCATGCTGTAAGAGGCGACTAAAATGCCGGGAGCAAGGGGCTAGTAACCCCTTCTCTTGTATATATTACTAAATGTAAAATGAGACTTTCATTTTTCCTTTTGGGCCACCCTGCCTTGGTGGGATATGGCTGGTGTGTTGAAAGAAGAAGAAAGATTTAAGAAAGGAGACAGGAGACAGATAGGAAGGGTTAAAGTACAGACCAATTTTGCTAACCTGCATACCTTGAGGTAACAAAGAAACTGATCACTTGGAGAAAAGTGGTTTCATAAACACTAACCAGAATGGGTTTAATGATAGTAAATCTTGTCCTAACTTGTTGGAGTTCTGTGACAAAGTAACAGATGTGAGACATGGTAAGACACATAGGCAACAGTTAGGCAACTTTATTCCGAAACGTTTCGCCTACACAGTAGGCTTCTTCAGTCGAATACAGAAAGTAGGCAGGAACAGTAGAGATGTGAAGACGATGTAATCAGTCCATCACCCTTGAAGTCGTAGAATTTGAGGTTGTCAGTCCCTCGGCCTGGAGAAGTTCAGTTCCATAGTCAGGAACTATCTGAAGATCAAGCGACAGTGCAGAGACTTAAATACTGTCGGAAGGAGAGGTGCAGAGTAGTAGTAGTGAGAATGTAGCCACTGAGAGGTCAGTGGCCTCTTGGTACAGAAAACGCCTTAGACAACCCTTTCAAGTGAGAACTGTTGGATCTGAGAGGGACCTGACCTCTCAGTGGCTACATTCTCACGACTACTACTACTACTACTCTGCACCTCTCCTTCCGACAGTATTTAAGTCTCCGCACTGTCGCTTGATCTTCAGATAGCTCCTGACTATGGAACTGAACTTCTCCAGGCCGAGGGACTGACAACCTCAAATTCTACGACTTCAAGGGTGATGGACTGATTACATCGTCTTCACATCTCTACTGTTCCTGCCTACTTTCTGTATTCGACTGAAGAAGCCTACTGTGTAGGCGAAACATTTCGGAATAAAGTTGCCTAACTGTTGCCTATGTGTCTTACCTACCAACCTGTCAGTATTGTATACCATTTTGATGTTCAGATGTGAGACAAGAGAGGACTGAGTGAACTGCATTTGTTTAGAGTGCAAGAAGGCATCTGATAATG